GGAGCAGGGAGCCCGATGCGGGGCTTGATCCCAGGACTCTGGGATCATGACCTGAGCCGAAGGCAGACGCTTAACGACTGAGCCACCCAGGCGCCCCTAACAGATTTTAAAAGTAGGAACCAGACAGTGACTAAACTAGGCAGAAAGTACATAGTATGGTGGGTGTTCTCCCTGACACAGTAAAGGAACAACATGATGAGAAATTCTAGTATTGAGGGAGATGAGACAAAAAGATGGCTATAGAAAGCTTTTCTGTTATGTGGCTACTTTTTTCAAACACAAAAGAGAAATTTTGCTAAGACAAACTTCTCTACTCCTAAATCACCAAGGTGATAATGTAAGTTTACATCAGCTAAGCCTCAGCATAAAATCTGAGAGCTGGTATTACACAACAACTAGGTGGACAGTAAAGAAGCATCCAGTCCATCTCTGTGTGAGCAAACACTGGATCTTAGTTGATCTCATGTCAACTGAAGCAGTTTGTGCACCACGAAAGGAAAAGAACATTGTACTTAGTGTCCAAAGTGAAAGCATACTTTTAAAAGATTTATTACAGGAAACAGAAGTTGATTGTAGACATCACCTGTTCTTTTGCCTTAATGAAAACCCAGAGGCTAGAACATTGTGTAAAAGTCAAGGAGATTAATAATGTTATATAATAAGGTGAGGTGGTAGACTGAGATGAAAAAGTGGCCAAGAGAAATTGAAAGGGAGGGAAATAGGTGAAATAAAAAAATTGGGGAAATAAAATAGCAGAATTAAAAATTTCATTAGGCTAAAGAATAGACTATACACTGAAGAAAATCGAGTCAGTTGTATGAAGGAAAATTTGAGATATATTTGGCCAATAAAATCAACATGATATAGATTGGAACACAGAACTGAAATCCAACAGAGGCATAATTAGTGTCCCTACAACAAGCAGAATTGAGGCAGTCATTAAAGATAATATTGATAGAAATTTTCCTAAGCTAAGTAAAGCACTCAAATCTGAACTTGAAAGAACTTAAGCCTTTTTTAAAGACTTTTTTGGGAAAACTTGTAAGAAGTTTTTAATTTTAAGAATGAGAGACAAGGAAATAATACTGTACACACACACACACGGGAAAACAGGCTACTTTAAATGCCAGAATTGAAATGCTAAGACCAAGAGTTCCATATCTAGCCAAGGTGCCATTTTTGTGAAGGCTAAAGAAACACATTTCCAGACATGCAAGGGCTAAGGAGGCATACCGCCATTATCCTTTCTGCAAACTTTTCTGAGATATGCTCCTGCCAATTAAAAGGCAAATCTAAATAAAGAGCACAACAATTGGAAAGCACCAGTGGCAAGCATTGAAGCTAGTTCAGTGCAGAATTAACTCTAAACAGTGATTGTAAATGCTTATTAAAGAGAAACTGACTCACATTAAGAATTTGTCTAAAGTGAAATTCCTGTTTGTTTGTTTTTGGTTTTTTTTAAGATTTTATTTATTTGCGAGAGAGAGGGCACCTGGGTGGCTCAGTTGGTTAAGCGACTGCCTTCGGCTCAGGTCATGATCCCGGAGTCCCGGGATCGAGTCCTGCATCGGGCTCCCTGCTCGGCAGGGAGTCTGCTTTGTCCTCTGACCCTATCCCCTCTCATGTGTTCTCTCTCTCTCATTCTCTCTCTCTCAAATATTTGCGAGAGAGAGAATGAGAGACAGAGAGCATGAGAGGGAGGAGGGTCAGAGGGAGAAGCAGACTCCCTGCCGAGCAGGGAGCCCGATGCGGGACTCGATCCCGGGACTCCGGGATCATGACCTGAGCCGAAGGCAGTCGCTTAACCAACTGAGCCACCCAGGCGCCCCTAAATTCCTGTTTTTGAATACAAAAATTAGGAAGGAAATAGGTCGGTTCATATTGATAACAAGATATATAGTTCCGAGTGTGATTTTTTTTTTAATTTAAAGAGAACAATTTATACATAAGACTTTTCATTCTATGAATTTTAAATCAGTTGAAGAAAAAAAATTAAACCTGGTCCATATAAGCAAAAGTTACAAAGTCAAGGAAGATGCAAGGAAGCCTTTGAAATAAGGTAAAAAAAAGAAAAATAGACATTTCACTTAATAAATAAATAGAAATAGTTGAATTTACTCATTAAAGGACCCAATAGGGACAAACCCACTGGGCCACATTTTGATCTTAATTCTTATCTTTTCCTTAACATTAAAAACTGTGACACATTGACCCTGAAAGGATAGGTTCAGGCTACTCAAGATACTGTGTGTTTTGCTGAGGTATGCTATGAAAGCTGCTAGAAATTGTATAGATAATCTTTAATGCACTATTAGTGTTTTAAGAAATGTTTGTATCTCATTTTCCATTTCATAGACTTGTATCTGTCCCAACATACTTCAGAGTGGAAAGATAGTCTTATATTTCCTATTTCTTTGCAGAGTTGTTTGCATCAAAAGGAGGTATTTCCTTCTCACTTGAAGTGGGTGAATTTTATGTGATATATGAAATATGTGAATTATATCTCAGTAAAGCTGTTTTTAAAAAGGATGAATAGGCCATGGCTTTGATTTAATCATATTTATAATTTTTACTACTTTTAATACTGAATTAAGATCAAGAGACATACGGTTCACCAATATCTGTTGCCTGGGAATAAACCTCTGTGTAGATGTTTTCCTTTATTCATGATACATTGATGTTGCTGATTCCAGTGTACCTTTCTGTAAGTCTGTATCATAGCTCAAAAATAATTAACTGAATAGAAAAATTTCTTCTCATGGATTTTTAGTGATAAACTGATAAAATTTTATTGTGTATTTCTTCCTCTTACTGATTCAAACTCCACACATCACTGGTTTTGCCCAGCTCTGAAGTGAAATATTGGCTAGCATGTGCACAGTGGTAATTGTTCCTTTACATTGAATCCTCCAGTGCATCTGATAAAGGTGTTTTGCCAATATCTTGTTCTGTTTTTGTTTGTTTGTGATTGTGATATTTGTATTTAACCTCATGGCTGGTATAATAAGTCCCTTGGCAATTGTTTGGCTTGTGCCTGTTTCCCTATAAGGAGTGCAAATTCATAAGTCCTCTGTATTTTTTGGCTCTCTCTTTAGCAACAAAATTCATCACTTTTGTTCTGGAAAAAGCATTATGTGGTGCTTGTTCTGGAAAGACTCATACAAGTCATTGTGCTTTGAAAGTGAAACAAAAACTATGGTGTCTTCAGGCCATTGGTCTGACCATGTTTCATAGCAGGCAGCTAGGAACAAATAGATTGACTCAATAAATCAAAATTTCAAATGCTCACTATCTTAATTTTCTACTTATAATTTTCCTTTTCAGCTGCTTATGTGATATCATACTTATCCTGACACATACAGATTTATGTTCTATAGTCACTGTATTAGAGTTCTGTTCATTTAAAAATTCATGCTGTTTTTATAAGTAGTAGTATTTACAGTTCTGTTTTCATTCCTACTTTTAATCCTTCAGTAAATCATTGAACCATTTTTGTTACTTGGGCGACATAATAAAGCATACAACAAAAATGCAGATTTAAAAAATGTAAACAATACTCAGAGGACGTGAAGATACATTAACTGAAATAAGCTGAATGTGATAATTAGTGTGTATACATAGATCCAATTTTTGTAGAACATTGACAGCCTTTAAAATTGTAAATTGTAATGTTCAATAAGACTATTAGAAGATTTTTGGAAAAATAATTCTGCTTTCCAGATTAATGAAAGATAAGTGGTCCACACTCTGACGTTCATGGAGTTAGAGGACCACAGGGCACTCCTGCAGTTGTGGCTAAAGAAACAGTTGGCTGCAAGCGTTAGATGTCTTCAGAATGATGTTCTCTGTTGTGTTACAAAATCCTGTTCCCATGATGCCTGTGGGAAATGAGGAGTAACTCTTCATTTGGAATTTGTTTTGCTTGGATGTAAAATGGATAAAATTGTTATGGTACTTAGACTTAAAATTAATTTTTTAAGGTCTAGTTCCAAAAGATTTGCTGGCCTTCCTGTTTTTCATTGGTTCTTCATATTCTTTAACTGATCATAAGCCCTTGAGCTATAGGTTTGTTTAGGAAAAAAAAAATGTTTTACTACTAGATGGGGAGTAGGAGGCAATGAAGGAAGGAAGGGGATCTGAAGTACTCTATCTTGGGCACATGTAAGTATCTTCTTCAGTCCTGTAGGCATTGTAGTGCTTACTGTTTCCTCTTTGTCTTCCTTTTCTCCTCCTCCCATAAATGATGAGGAATTCTCAATTTGCAGACTTAATAGAAGATACTTTTTTAAAAATCATGGTGGTTTTTGCATTTTCTTGCCTGGTACCTGTCTTTTAGGCTCAGACTGCCCCCCAGTTCTGCCTGTACATGTACTGATGAATTAGGTTGACAACTATACTTATAGTAGTCTTATGATTAATTAATGCTGTAAGATATGTTTAGAGAATTTAGAATCATATTTTTTTTTCTCTTCTTGTTTTAGTCTTGTGCTACCATTCTCCCTGTTATCTAGGATCAAAAATCTTATCTTTGATTCATTCTTCTTTCATATTTCATATTCAGTCAGTGTTCCAAAACTTGGTCATTCTGTTCCAAGATATAGCCTTCTTTATTTTCTGCACTTTTATGTTCTGGTTCAGGTTTCTCTATGCTGAGATTACAGATGTTCAGCCAAACACATTGATTCTAAGCCTTCATTTTTCTGATGTTCCAGTTTATTTCTTTAAAATTACCTTCATCAGCAATTCTCTTTCATCTGTCCTGAGTCCCTAATTTTTAGGGAGTGCTGGGAATCTAATCCTTCCCTACCTAAGCAACCTCATTTTCCACTATTCTCCAACGTAGAGGAGGGGGAATTCCTATTTACTGTGTGTGAGTCTTGTGCCAGGTAGGCACTGGGTTAGGCACTTTACAAGTATTAGTAGCTTTAAATCTTTAAAACTACCCTGTAAGTTGGTATTTCTATTTCCTTTTTATATATGAAGAAACTCAAATTTATAGAAGTCATGTAATTTGCCCAAGGTCAGTTAGCATACATGGAATCGGAATTTAAATTATCCACCAATGTGATCTCCCAAAGCCTGGGTTTTGTCTACATCTCTCTTGTATTGAATTCACATATCAAGTATCCCCTTTCTTTGATGTATCCCATAATACACCTATTTTTAATATCATATCTTTGTTCACTTGGTTCTTTCCTCCTGAAATTCTTCTATTCCTTTTTCTATCTCTCCAAATTATATCTACCATTTAAAGACAAACTTAAATTCATGTCTTTTCTGTATGTTTCTCTGAATTTTATTTGTTACGTGTGTTTTTTTCCTCCACTTTTGTAGCACTTTCAATGTCTTATTCTATTTCCTGTACTTCGTATGTGTTAGTGTTCTGTCCCCAACTGGAGTAGAAATTCTTTGCGGGCAAAAGCCAAATATATGCTGCTGCTTTAAAGCCGTACAGGCAAAGCACATAGAAGGTTGTCTGTTACCTCATTGGCTGATTGATCATATGCACATTTTGGGAAAATTTGTTCTAAGTTTTAAAGATTTAAATTGAAACTTAAATCATTTTTGCCTACTTGTATTTCCTTGTATACTAGTTTGTGTTAAAAATTAAAAGCTCTGAGCTGCTGCATTTAGAATCAAATGCTAAGGAGACCCATATTTTTCCACTTTAAAGGTTCCATTTCATTCAGTTTTTATCATGCTAGTAGAATCAGCTACTTTAATATTTAAGTTCTTGAGTTAGTAAGAAAAAGAATAATGATATCTTCCAAGACTCCCAATTCTCTAACCTGTTCTTCTCCTAACTTATTTTTGGAATATTGGTCAGAATATATAACATATTGGAAATAATATTAAATGCCCTTTTTATAAATATAAAATGTCATTAATATGGGTTAAAAATTTAGTGGTAAATTGAACCAGCTTTGATCAGAATAAACTTAAGTACTTTTGTTACTTTTTCTGTGTTGGGATGACTTCTTGACTTTACTTATAAATAAATATTTAATACTCAGTTTGCTTTGAGTTTAGGTGGAGAAATTAATGTAAACTTTATTTTTTTTAAGATTTATTTATTTATTTATTTTAGAGAGAGAGTGTGTGCAGGGGTGGGGGAAGGAGCAGAGGGAGCGGGAGAGAGTCCCAAGCAGACTCTGCACTGAATGTGGAGTCTGATGCGGGACCCAATGCCATGACCCTGAGATCACAGCCTGAGCTGAAACCAAGAGTCTGGCGCTCAACTGACTGCACCACCCAGGCACCTGATGTAAACTTTTTGTGTAATTGTTTTTGAATATCCCTTTGTATTATAAATATTTGAAAGGTTCTTACTTTTTCCTGATTATTACTAATTTGGATTAATTCTTCAGTTTGTTTTAGTTTTATAGAAATATGTAGAATTTACTCTGGGTTTAACCATATTTTCTAGTGTATATACCTTTACTTACCATTTTAATTCTAATTGCATTTTTCTCTGAGTTAGATTAATTTTTTTTCTGTGATAAACCTAATCTTTTCCCCCTTCTTTTTATTGTCTTAATGTAGGTTTAGATGAGGTGCTTTCAAAGGGATAACTTGGTTAGGAATAAAAGCTTTAGTTCATGGTGTCCAGTGTTAACATTTTTCTAATTTTTAAGTTATCCCTTGGAAATCAGTCCTTTTTTGGAGTCAGTTTCTGTTTTAATTTAGATGTTTTGTCATTAAGCAATAGAAATAATTCTAATTACCATTGGCAAAAGTCATTTGTTGAAAGGATTCACAGATTTGAATTAAGAATTAAACAAGTGTGCCTTGGGGGAGATGGAAACTAAGAATTCTGGAGTGCTTAGAGACGTGAATCAGTATAACTGGTATGCTCACTTACAGAGGCTGTTGCGTCAGATGATCAAACCCCACTTGATTTGTGTTGGTTCTCAAAGTTTAATTCCTAGGACATCAAAAAAGAGTTGAATCCCTTGCCACCACCCTGACGTTGATGATGGTAGCTTGGATGTTTGTGTGGGTTTGGTGATGGGTGGTATACAGGGTTATGTGATTGACTGTCCTACTAGAATCACAGGACATTGGGGTGAAGTATAGCTATTCACAGGAATAAAGGAAGGGATTCTGGACAAACACTGGAGATGTCCACTAAATTTGTGCCTTTATTATCTAGTCCACATAAGTTGACACATCCATGTACACAAATCCAGGAAGTTTACTCCTGTCATGTTGCAGTTCTCCTGTATTCAGCTGCAGACATAACCTTATCTCCAGGGGTAGAAACCAGAGTCTCATTCACCTACCATAGCAATTCTCTCTGCCAATTTTGGAGAGTAATTTGATTAGAGGGTAGTAGGAGATAGATTGTAAGTAAGAAGAAGTTAAGATGATATTGAGTGGTAGGAAAGAGGAACCAAAAGATATAGATCACAAATTAAAGAATTATTTTTTTATAGTATTAGATGACCTTAAAGGTAAGACAACCAAATAAAAGGATGGAGGTAAAAAGGTGCACTATAAATAATTATTCTGAACATCGGAGATATACCAGAACATTTGGTCACCTTATTTAACGTTTCTGTACCTGTGGATTACTTTATATTAAGGGAATGGTATGTTTTATAATGTTTATTGAGTTATTTTTCAGTATTACATTTTTGAGTAGTAATCACTATTACAATTTTCTGTGTCTTAAACTGGATACCGTCATTGACCTCTAATACAGTGTCAATTTCTTTGTAAAATTTTTTTTACTAAAGAAAAAATTATGCGACGTGTAATATATAATTGGCAGTGAATAGGGAAATAGAAACCTCAAAATTGGGAGTTTGCTTTGGTATCTTCTCTAAAATACAGGGTTCTCTACTTTGGCATGGATAGATATATTTGGAGAACCCAGATTGTTTTTTAATGTATTTGTTTTCCTTTCCTGTATATATTGTCATGGTTATTTAGTTAGTGTGGCATAATTGTGAAACTTTCTTTTTGTTTTAGCTGACATCTGAAATGTTTGAAGCAGATCTTGAGAAGGCATTGTTGCTAAGTAAATTAGAATATGAAGAACATAAAAAGGTATTTACACATTTATTGATTTAGATATTTCAGAAGTTTAAGTGGTCAGAGGTTAGGACCAACCTTCCTGAAGTTTGTATAAAAGTTCTCCATTAAAGCTTGTCCTAAAAATTCACCATTGTAACAAAATATTATTATGAGGTTTTTTTTCTTTTAAAAGATTTTATTTATTTATTTGACAGAGACAGTGAGAGAGGGAAAACAAGCAGGGGGAGTGGGGAGGGAGAAGCAGGCTTCCTGGAGAGCAGGGAACCCGATGCGGGGCTCGATCCCAGGACCCTGGGATCATGACCTGAGCTGAAGGCAGACGCTTAACGACTGAGCCACCCAGGTGCCCCTATTATGAGGTTTTTTTTAAAATAATTTTTTAGGGCGCCTGGGTGGCTCAGTTGGTTAAGCGGCTGCCTTTGGCTCAGGTCATGAT